TAGCCTTCTTTTTCCCTCCCCCCCCCCATTGCTGGAAAGTATGTGTGCTCATCACAGAGAGAGAGAGAAACCCCCCCAATGGGATGGCATGACCATGCCATAATCCCTTCTCCTCCATTTTTCTATCATGTCAGGATTTGGGGCAAGTACACACACATGCCCCGCATATATTTCAAGCCACCAGGGCCAGGATTTGGAACACAATCGGCCATGTGGGATCCAGCTCTTTGAACCAACTAAGTTATGGGGCTAGCCTCCTAAATATTGTAGAATTGACCAGAGAAACCATTTTGGTCATGGACTTTTTTTTTTAATTAAAATTCCTTTTTTTTTTTTTTTTTTTAGAAGTTTTTAACTATAGGGTTCTTGTGGAAAGACAGAGAGACAGAAAGTGAGAAATCACCCCCCAGGGGGAATGGCCACGCTGCAATCCTTCTCCTCCATTCTCCTCTCGGGATCTTGGGCATGGACGCACATGCACTCAGCGTGAGTTTAAGCCACCAGCTCCGAGACTCGAACTGCAGTCAACTACATGGGAGTCCAGCGACATTATGCCAAGTGCTGGTTCCCTGCAAAATGTTTTTTACTTGGTAGACATTAGAAACTTTTTTTGAGAAGTTTATTACTCATGCCTATATAGAAATGTCAAGGCCCAGCTACGGTGGTACAGGCAGGCAGTAGGGGTGTTGTTGCCCAATGCTGGAGACCATATCTGAGGGTTCATGTCCTGGTCTGCCTCAACACACTAAGTATACCTGTCATCATGGCTGGCTTCAGGGCTGGGAAAAGAATTGTGGCATGTAGACCCTCTCAAGGGTGCATGTCTATCTTAGCTCTCTGGGTGTGAAGTCTCTGTTGGGGGTATGTATCTCTGTCTGTCTGTCTATCTGTGCAGAGAGAGTTTTAATTCTCCCTTTCTATCTAGATGCCTTTTCTAGATCTCTCTCTCTCTCTCTCTCAGGCAATAAATAAACTTTAAAAATTGTTTTTTTAAATGGGAGGTTGGTTCTGTAAGGTTAAATTCTAGCAGTATAGAGTGTACATGACACAAATATGAAACTATCATTTTTATAATTGATGTTTCCATATGGTTTGGAACATACTAGGTATCATCACACTAATTTTTCTTTATAGAGTGCCTTTTGAGCCCTAATCACCACCTGATTATTATCATTATCATTATTACCTTGAGGTTGTACAAATAACCTCTGATACCATGGGAGTGTGATTTAATTCTGGCAGTTTTATTTTACTGAATTATTACATTGTGAATGTCTTAGATTAGCCAGATTTTTTAGAGGTAATTTAGCAAAATACATTATAATTTGGCCAATCAGTTTTCGGCATCAAAGAGCTCAGCTCAGTTAATGAGTTGAAATATTTTAAACATGTGTTCAGCTTACATTTCAGGAAATTCTGAAGCTTTATGCTTTCTTATCATAAATTGCCTTGAAATGAAAAGCTAGTTGTTTCTTTGTTTATTCTTTCAACAAATATTTATTTGGTTTCCCTTATGCTTCCCTTACTGGCAATATAGTGCTAAGGAAGACAGATGCCATCTCTGTCCAGATGGAGTTTACATTTTAGTGAGGGCAAATGATAAACAAGTAATAAAATAAATAAGCATGACAATTTTAAATTTGATAAGTGCTACCAAAGGATGGGTTATGGGATGAGTAAGAGTCAGGAGTTATGAGGGATGGGAGGTCAAGGAAGGTTTTTTTTGTGGAGGTGACATTTGATCTGAGATTTCTTCTAAAAGAGCAGAGAGAAAACGTAATGAAATAAGGTTGGGAGATGTAAGAGCCATCTGTATTACAAATCTGTTTGAGTGCAATGGGAGATAATTGAAAGTTGTTTTTTGGGTTTTTTTTTGGAGAGGTTTTTTTTGCTATAAAGTGCATGCTCTTGTCAGAAAGACAGAGGCAGAGAGACAGAAATCGAGAAATCACCCTCCAGGGAGGATGGCCACGCTGTAATCCCTTTTCCATTCTCTCGGGATCTTGGGCACGCATGCACAGGTGCCCAGCGTGAGTTTAAGCCACCGGGTCCGAGACTCGAACCGCAGTTGACTACATGGGAGTCCAGTGATATAGCCATTATGCCAACTGTTGTTCCCGAAAGTTGCTGCTTTTTTTTTTAATTTGCCCGAAGGCATATGCACTCACTGGAGAGAGACAGACAGACAGATACACATACACACACACAGTTTAAAAAGCACTTCCCATGGAGGATGGTCGTATTGCAATCCTTTTTCCATTTCTCCTTTCTGTTGGGATTTTGGACATGAACACACATGGACCCAGCATGTTTTTCAAGCCACCGGATCCAGGACTTGAACTATATAGTCGGTCATGTGGAAGTATTTTACCCCCAACACCACTGTCTGGCCTGATAATAGAAAAGATTTTATTATAATTATTATTTTCCAGTTTGATCAGAGAGAGACAAAGAGAGAGAGAGAGAGGAAATGAGAAAGCAAGCCACCACGTCCGAGACTTGAACTGTGGTTGGCCATGTGGGAGTCCCAACGCTTTCAACCACCATGCCACTTGCCGGCGATAATAGAAAAGATTTTAAAGCAAGGTCGAAATATGTTCTGAATTGATGTTTGAGATCACTTTGGCTTTTTTATATAGGATGGGGTTATAAGAGAAGACCTGAGTGGAAGCAGGGACACCAGTTAGGAGGCTATTGCTGGACTCTAGAGAAGAGATAGTGATTCATATCTAAGTGCTGGCGATGGAGATGGATACAAATGGACTGATGAGAGGTATATTACAGAGGTAGAACACATGGGATGTGTTGATGGCTTCATTGGAAGTGAGAATGAGAAAAGGACTTAAGTTTCTTGATTTAAGAAATACTGATGAAAGAACAGAAGAGATTATTTTGGTTTTTGGGGGGGGAGTGCAAGTTTTTTTGTTGTTGTTGTTTGTTTGTTGTTAAGTTTGAAATGCCTGTTAGACCTCTAGGAAGAAATAAAAGTAGACAGTTTGAAATAGGACTACTTGGAACTCAGGAGAGAAGTTGGAGCCATAGAAATATATTTTGGAATTTGGGGACCAGCAGTTAGCATAATGTTTATGTTGCTGGACTCCCATATAGTCGACTGCAGTTTGAGTCCTGGACCCGGTGGCTTAAACTCATACCGGGAGCACATGCATGCATGCCCAAGATCCTGAGAGGAGAATGGAGGAGAAGGGATTGCGACGTGGCCATCCCTCCTGGGGGGCAATTTCTCACTTTCTGTCTCTCTGTCTCTCTCTGTCTTTCTGGCAAGCACACGTGCCTTATAGCAAAATCCTCTCCAAAAAAGAAAACAAACACACAAACAAACAAACAGAAAAACACATTGTATTATACATAGTTTGATAGGCAAAGTTTTTTCTTGTGATTTTTTTTTTCAGGTTTTTGCGGGTGCATGCACTTGCCAGAGAGAGACAGAAACAGACAGAGAGGTAAAATGAGAAATCACCCCCGAGGGGGATGGAGACTGCAGTCCCTTCTCCATTCTCCTCCTGGTATTTTGGGCACATACGCACACGTCTGGCATGTTTTTCAAGTTGCTGGGTCCAAGACTCAATCCGTATACTTGGCTATGTGGGATCCACCACACTACCTGCTAGCCCTCCCAGTGCTATTTTAAAAATACAATTTATTTTAATAAATGGATCTTAGACTCCTTGAAATACAGTAAGTGATAGTTACAGCCAGGAAGTAGGTCTGAGAGTTCATAAAGAATTAGAATTTCATAGAATCTACTATGTACACAGCCTGCCTCATCAGACTTCCCCCTTTTCTTTCAAGATTGAGCTTGAGATCATATTTCTCAGAAAAAGCATTTTCTAACATCCTCTATCCCTACCCAGTAGCTAAACACAGAATAAAGAAATGAAGCCATAGATTAGTAAGATGGTGCTTACTGGGCTAGCATGTGGCATAGAGGTTAGGGTAACGATCCCACATAGCCAGTTGCATGATTCAAGTCCTGGACCTGGCAGCTTGAAAAACACAGTGGGGCACTTGTGCATGTGCGAGATACTGAGAGTGGAATGGAGGAGAAGGGATGGCGATGTGGCCATCCCCCTTAAGGAGTGATTTCTCACTTTCTGTCTCTGGCAAGTGCACACGCCCTATAGCAAGCAAGCAAGTAAATAAATAGGAAAAAAGAATGGTGCTTACTTTATTCATTATGATTTTATTTCTTCTCTTTCTGCTTCTAGGAAGAAAGAAATCTGGGGGCTTATAGTGGGTTTTTATTCAAAAGGAATCCAAGAGTGAGTGTAGGAATAGAATTTAGCAAATGAATCAAACATAATTAGCTGGCTTAATTTTCTGGTGATTGTTGCTAACGAAATACTTTTGTTTCCATGTCTCCCCACTTAGTTCTTTTTTGTTCACTTTTTTTTTTTTTTTTAGGAGAGCCCAGAAGAAAGGACAATAAACATGAGCTCTATTCGGGTAAATAAATTTACTTCCATTGTGTTCACGGATTTCATAGCTTAATTTCATCAAGAAAATTGGTATCTTTCCTTTTTTTTCCCCCAAGTCTTAAGTCTGCTGCCTCCACAAAGTCAAAGTGAAGTGTTTGCCTTTTAAATTCATTCTAATGACTTTTATGTGAATTTCTTGGCAAATACCCTGACCAGCCTTCATCTCTAGAATATAACTCTTCATAGTTTGACTCTTGCTGTGTAACCATGCATTGTCTCCTTTTATGATGTGTTTGCATGCATATAAATCATGACAGTATTAAGTCTGATTTAACAAAACTGTATACAGTCATCTCATTATTTAGAAACTATTGCTATATACATGTTTAGCATGAGTAGTAATAGTGTCTGCTTCTGTGATATTTATTTTAGAAATTAAATTCCTAGATTGTGGGAATGATGATAATTTCCATTTCACAGTACTTTGTTCAATTGAACGTCTAAGTTTGTTGTGCCAGTATGATAAAAAGCATGGTTAGTCCTTGGACATTGGGAACTTTCTGGTTTGAATGTTACTTAATAACTGAGCTCCAATTATGAACCTAGACCCTTTGACCTAACTCTTGCTTTGTTCATCTAAGATAATTGTAAACTTTTCCTGGGAAAAGAAGAGAAAGTCATGAGTAAACATAGTAAAATATTCAATAAATAACTTTCCTTTTTCTGTGTTTTCAGGGAAAGAAATGGAACTGGTATTTGGACTACTTATTTTCAGAGGGGTTACAAGGCTTAAAACTTTTCATAAGAAGTAGTATTCATCGTTCTGTACCCCGATCAGAGAGCATTAACTACAACAATCAACATTAAATGGGTGCTGTCATAAAGTGAGCATTCCAGGCTAAATTCCTTCTTTGTTGCTAGAGAAGCCAAGTGGCTCAATTTCAGTGTCCATATTCATTTCACTAACAGACCGTCATCCTCAAGGAGTACTCAGGCTGGCCTTCTGTCTGTGCCTCAGGAGAGTCTTGGTGTAACTAACTTACTTTTTAGGATTTAGATTCTACAGCCTGCTGCTGAGAAATGACCTCTTCATCAGACTTTGCATTCCACCAATTATGCATAAAGAGACACACCTAAAAAATAAAGAAGACACACCTGTTTGTGGTAGGATTTTTTTTCCCACATTTTTGTGCACTGCTTTGAGGGAAGTGAACAAGTAATATACAATGGCAGTTAACCCAAAGATATATATTTACAAAATGCTCTGCTGCTTCTGTGAAACCTTTGAGGATGTTGCCATTTTTTCTTACTGTGAACACCACCACCAGCACCCAGTTAACTCGATATAAAATTTATGACTCTGTGAGTCCTAAGTAGTTGGTAACTTCTTGGACCTTCGCTAGTAGCAATTTGATGAGGGAAGGAAGAGGGAGAGGATTGTGGCATAATCAAGAGAGTCCTGTTTATACCAGTTTGGTTTTATGAAATTTGCTCTATTTCCATTGTTTTTATTTATGTGTGTCCAGTTTTTACTCATTCAGGCCTAAATAAACCAACTATGACTTTTAGAGGTAATTTTGAAGATTAAAATTTTTTTTATAGTAGCGAGAATATCTTGCTGAAAATTTGCCATAAAATTTTGCTTGAGTGCTACTGAATAACTCTCTCTCTTTTAATAAAAACCCATGTCATTTGAGAGAAATCAAGCTGAATTTATCATGTCTTTAAAGGCACATTCTTGTGGGGTATTTTTCCTCATCAAAGCAAAACCCTAATATTATTGAATAGTGTTCAGACTAGAAATTTCATTCATCCATGTTAATTCAATAAATATTTATTGAGTTTCTTAATAATATGCCAAGTATTCTATGTGCTGGTTATATACCTGTGACCAAACCATAGTACCTGCTTTTATGGAATTTACATTCCAGGAGAGAACAAAATAAAATATAAGCAAATATGTGATATCAAGTGCCACATAGAAAAAGCAGAACAGGGACAGGAATAGGGACAGAGAGTTACTTTCATCAGTAAGATGGTTATTAGGGAAGGCCTGTTTGAGGAGGTGACATATACAGTGGCCCTAATAAAATAAGTATATGAGCCATGTGAATATTTGGGTAAAGAGGATTCTGAGCTGAAATAAAGGCAAGGGAAATGACCTTCAAATGTTTACTTGGCATGTTTGAAGAATAACAGAGGCCAATGAGGTTACAACATAGTAATTAAGGGAGAATAATGGTAACAAATGAAATAGGGAAGAAAGTCAGAGACTTGTTCATGAAGTCCTATATAGCCTTGGCACAGGTATGTAAAAGGGAAGCCATTAGATTGACTTACCTGTATGAGATATGGAACTACAGTGGGAAGGTTAGGTTTAAGAGGATGAAGTAAGAAAGCAGAGAGACCAGTCAGGTTATTACAGTGTTCCAGGCAAGAATCCTGGACTAGTGTGATAGATGGTGGGGAGCTGGTTAGCTATTAAATTCAGGTTCTATTTTGAAGATAGAGAAAACAGAATCTGCTTATAGCTTGAATATGAGAAGGAAGAAATAGTAGAGTAAAGGATAACTCCTAGGTTTTTTTGTTTTTACCTGAATAATAAGGTGAGTTCTGTTGGGTTGTCAGAAAAATCATGATGCATTTTTGCATAGGAAAATACGTTATGACTTTTCCAATGACCTATTAAGATGCAGAGATGAAGGATACTGGAGGAGTGTGGAATAAAGTTCTCTTTTGGCCATGTTAGGTTGGAGATGCTGAGTAGGCCATTGGATATTCTGGACTTTAGGGTATAATTTGAGATAGAAAATTAAATTGGGGAGTCATTAGGGAGTAACAAAGACATTGGATGAGATTACTAGTGGAGCTAGAGACGAAAAGACAAAATGTACCTTGTCCTGGAGTTTTCCAATGTTATTAAGTAGAGGAAAAGAGGAAGACCTGACAGTGAGCTAGAATAAAAATCAGCCTGGATGCCAAAGGAAGAAGGTATTTCAAAAAGGAGAAGTGAATATTTAATAGTGTAGAATTTAGCCTATGTATCTGGAAAAATGAAGTGTTGGTTGCTCTGAGATAATTGTGATAGCTTCCCCCATAGGTAACCAGTCTTAATTAAAGTGTTGTCTTTTGTTTTCAAGTTTGTACTCCAAATAACTTTCCATTTGCTTTCTTAGAACATATTTTGGTCCTTGAGATCATGTGGAACTTTGAACTGTGAGATTTGATGGGTTTTGATGAGATTTAATGTCTAACAGTCTTTATAAGAATCTCTTCTAAAATCGGTATTCTGGGAGAAAAAAAAAATCCTTTAGGTTTGTTTTTGTTAAATAATGATTTTTCAGGCACCTTTTTTGGTGGCCCATATTTCTCTACTCTTGATCAACTTTTTGAAAAAATTTGATACAGGGCATGTGCACTTGTTGGGGAGAGAGAGAGAGAGACAGAGGAGGGGGGGTGAGAAAGCATCCCCCATGGCAGATGGCCACGCCACAGTCCCTTCTCTATTCTCACGCTCATACACATGTGCCTAGTGTGTTTTTCAAACCACAGATCCAAGACTCAAAGAGTGAAGTTGGCCATGTGGGATCCAGTGTCTTTAATTGCCACACCATCAATTGGTCCTTAATAAATTTGTTTTTTCTTAATAATTTTTTTAACCTAGTTAAGATTGGAGATATGACTGTGCAAATAAGTTCAATATAGTTATTTGAAAAATCTTTTTTGACGATTCTTCATGGCAAAACCTAGAAGATTTAAATAAGAATAGCTATTTTGTTTCAGTGCAAAAGATATCTAAAAAAGAAACATGGAAAATCTGGCTTATTAAAAAAATTGTACAAAAAAGGTTTTCTTTACCTAGTGTTTGTGTGAAATTGTTGCTATTATAAATACTGACAATGTTCATTACTTAGGTTGCTCTTAGAATTCTAATATTTTGTTTTCCTTTTGTCATTGCTTATTCCTCTTGGCCATGGGGCTGATTTGAAAAGAAAAGTAGATAATCCTATGGTACCCACATAACTTTTATTAACATAGTCAGATGATTTACTAGAAAAAAAATATGTTGGTAATTCAGGCCAACAATATATTCTGTTAAACATTTATTCTCTATGGGCCTGATTTTATTTGGATTATGGAACAATTTATGTCTCCAGGAAATTGCCAAAAATAATAGAGTCAAGCCAGCTCTGTAGTGAAGTGGTTAGGCACTCCTCAGAGGAAGTCAGATCCCACATGGCCAACCAGGGTTTGAGTACCAGCCCCACTGACTTGAAAAAAATGTTGGGCATGCTTATGCATGTTCAGGATCCTGATGGGATGAAGTTGTGGAGGAAAAAGGAATATGGCATAACCAGACCCCATTGGTGGGGGGAGACACTCTCTCTCTTTCATGCATATATGCATGCCCTCTGGCATTAAAAAAAATAGTATAACCAGCTAGCAATGTATGGAGGCTAACAGCATGGTATTTTACCAGTAAGGGATGACCAGCCAAAAGTTTTGTAACAGAAACCAGAGAAAGACAGCAAAGGAAGCCCTGCTAATATCATAGCCATACCTAATGATATGGAAGAGTGCACATAGCTAAAGCTGCACTCTCTCAGAAGCAACTGAAGAGAAACCTTCTTTGCTATTAGCCCTTAACTAAATGCAAGGCAACTTGTAGATTCCTTAAAGTGTGAAAGCAGTCTCCAAACCACGTAGATCAGTCAGTAAATAATGAAAACCTTATTGTCTCAGAATTAAGCACAACTTCTGACCAATCCATTGGCTTATTGGTAAACTGTACTGACCCAGAGATGATCCTTAGGAAACCAGATTTAAAGATAGAAACAAGGAAAAAAAATCTAAACAGGAGATTAGAGGCTGTACACTCTTGGGAAACAGACTTCACAAAATTAGTTCAGCCATATTACCAAGCAGGTGAATCAACAGCAGTGACAAACCCTGGAATAGAGAACATCAGTATCCAGAACTGTTGTAATATCCTACCTAAAGTGTTCAGTTCAACAAAATATTATGAGACCTACAAAGAAACAGGAAAACGTTATATAGAGACAGGAAAAAAGACAGTAGAAATTGTTTTTGAGGACCAGATACTGAACTTACTGAAAAAGGACATCAAAACAACTACTATAAATAAGTTCAGTGAACATAAAGGAACCATGTTTAGAAAATTAAAGGAAGATATGATAACAATGACTGTATCAATAATAAAGGATAGTGAACACACATAAACATCACAGAAATGGACATTCTGAACTTGGAAAAGAGTGAAGAATAATGACTGGTGCCATAGAGAAATGTGGGACACCATTAAATGCATGAACATGCTCATTATGGGACTACAAGAAGAGGAGAGAATGGCAGAAAAAATACTCAAAGACATATGGGTATTAACACACCAGACTTGATCAAAACAAAACAGAACTATGCATCAAGAAGCTCAAGGAAATATTAGCAAATGAAATCCAGCTATATATAAAAAGGCTTTTACTGCATAAAAAATTAGGATTTATCCCAGGAATGAAAGGTTGATTTAACATCCAAAAACAAACTAATGTAATACACCAAGTCAAAGCATTGTTTTAGAAAGTGGAAATCTAATGCAAGAATATCTAATCAAAGGCATCATGTTCATTGATCAGAAGACTAAATATTGTTAAGATAACAATATTCTCCAAACTGAGATACTGTTTCCATGCAGCCCCTATCAAAATTCCAGATGACATTTTACAGAAATTGACAAGCTGATCATGAATCAAATGGAAATCATGGAACCCTAAGTAACCAAAATAATAAAGCCACTCCTCATTTACTGACTTATCTGTTTAATGGCTGCTTGGACTTAGGACTAGTTCTCCAGCACAGACAATCCCCTTTCTCAGACTGTGTGAGTGTTGGAGGATCCCCTTTCTCAGTCTTTGTCTTCTTCTCACAGTTGGTTAGTATTCCATATGTGAAACATTTGCAATTACACAAGACTACATATTTTGTTTATAAATTTGTATTTTATTGTACACCCATAGTAGTATTCAGAATAAATAAAAACAATTTTACCAGATTTATATTATTGTGTTGTGTGTCTTGTCACTTTCTGGTGGTTATCTAACATGCTTTTTGTATGGATATGTTATTCTAGTGTGGTATCATATGATATCTACTGAAAATTACCTACCCTATGGTGCCACACATATCATAAGACATCCACCTTAAGCTCCTTGCTTATTCACCAATCCACTTAATGACCTAGTCATAGGAACAGAACTCGGTTATTAAGTGAGGAGTGCCTGTATTGAGAAGAAAAAGTTGGAGAACTCACATTTCCTGGTCTCAGAGCTTACTACAAAATTAATACTAATCAAAACAGTGTGGTACTGGGACCAGCAGATGGTGTAATGGCTATGACGCTGGACTCCCATGTAGTTGACTGTGGTTTGAGTCCTGGACCTGGTGATTCAAAACTCATGCCAGGCGCATGTGTGTACATGCCCAAAATTCCAAGAGGAGAATGGAGAAGAAGGGATTATGGTGTGGCCATCCCTCTGGTAGGCGATTTCTCACTTTCTATATCTCTCTCTCCAGCAAGCACATGCACCCTATAGCAAACATCTTTCTCTAAAAACAAGCAAGCAAACACAGTGTAGTACTGCTGTAAGGATAGACATAGATCAGTGGAATGAAATTGATAGTCCAGAGACCCATACATTTAGTGTCAATTTGATTTTCAACAAAGATGCCAAGACAGTTCAGTGAGTACCTGGTAAACAGGATACACCATGCAAAAAAAGTTGTTTGAACCCCTGTATTACACCATGTACAAAAATTAACTCAAAATGAGCCAGAAACCTTAATGTAAGTTCTAAATGTATAGAACTCTTAGACAAAACAGAGGAATAAATCTCAGTGACCTTAGGTTAGGCAGTGATTTCGTAGCTAAGGCAATAAAGGCATATAGTAAAAGAAAAAAAAATTAATGAATTTCATCAAGGTTAAAATTTTTGTGCTTTAAATGACACAACTAAGATCAGATTGAAGTGAGAAACACAAAAGGGGAGAAAACATTTTCAAATTATATATATTAATATAACACATATAATATATTAATGTATATTATTATAGCTGATAATCATCTTTTGTCCAGAACATTGAAGAAGTCTTACAACTCGAGACCAGCAGTTAGCGTAATGGCTATGTTGCTGGTCCCATGTAGTCGACTGCAGTTTGAGTCCTGGACCCGGTGGCTTAAACTCACGCCAGGCGCATGTGCATGCGTGCCCAAGATCCCGAGAGGAGAGTGGAGGAGAAGGGATTGTGGCATGGCCATCCCCCCTGGGGGGTGATTTCTCGCTTTCTGTCTCTCTGTCTGTCTTTCTGGCAAACACACGCGCCCTATAGTGAAAACCTGTCCAAAAAAAAAGAAAAAAAAAAGTCTTACAGAAAACACAATTTAAAAAAATGGACTGGGCCAGCAGGTGGCATGGAGGTTAAGATGGCTGTATACCAGATGGTTGCCTGTGGTTTTGAGTCCTAGACCTGGCAGCTTGAAAAACATGCCAGGTTTCTGTGCATGTATGCTCAAGATCCCAGGAGGAGAAAGGATTGCAGTCTGCCCTTCTTCCCTGTGGGGGATGATTTCTCACTTTCTGTCTCTGGCAAGCACACACACCCTACAGCAAACCTAAAAAAAAAAAAAAAAAACTGAGGATCAGAATAGACATCTCTTGCCCAGAAAGATACATGAATTGATGATAACATTAAAAGATGTTGAACATCACTGGTCATTAGGTAAATTCAAATCAAAACCACAATGAGGTACAGTTTTATACCCTATAGAATGGCTTTAATACCCTATAGAATGGCTTTAATAATGGCAGACAAGAGTTGGCAACGGTGTGGAGAATTTGAAATGCTAATAGATTACTGGTTTGACTGTAAATAGTGCAGCCACTTTGGAATAGAGTTTGGAAGTTCCTGAAAGTTTTAAACTCAGAGTTACCATACTAAATATTTTGACTTCTGGATATATACCCAAGAGAAATGTAAACATATGTCCTAACAAAAACTTGAACACAAATGTTCATAGCAGAGTTATTTACATTTTTGCCATAGGGTACGTGCGCTCGCCAGAGAGAGGCAGAGGCAGAGATGAAAAGTGAGAAATCACCTCCCTTCCCTGAGGGGGGATGACTACATCACAATCTCTTCTCCATTCTCAGGATTTTGGGGATGCTTGAGTGTGTGCCCAGCATCATTTTTCAAGCCACCAGGTCCAGGACTGGAACTGTGATGCTGTTCATGTGGGGTCCATGCCACCTTTTTTAACTTTTTTTTTTGTTGTTATAAACTAAGACACAAACACACACATTAGTCTAGCCCTACACAGGGTTAGAATAATCAATATCACTGTCTTCTATCTCCACATCTTGTTCCACTGGCAAA